TCTTTACCTTTATCTTCCTTTCCTTTACCTCCTTCCCCCTTCCCCCTTCTCAGATTCTCCCTTCCCTTCTGCTTCTTTCCCCCTGCCTTCCTCCTTCCCCCTTTCCCCACCCTTTCTCCTTTCCCTTCCCTTCTTTTCCTCTTCTTTATGTGAAGTGGCTCGGGCCTGGAAGACCAGGGCCTTCCCCTTCCCTTTCCACCTTTCCTTCCTTCTCTTTACCTTTACTTTCCTTTCCTTTACCTCCTTCCCCCTTCTTAGATTCTCCCTTCCCTTCTGCTTCTTTCCCCCTGCCTTCCTCCTTCCCCCTTTCCCCACCCTTTCTCCTTTCCCTTCCCTTCCCTTCTCTTCTTCTTCTTTGCCCTTTTTGCATCTTCTATTTGAAGTGGCTCGGGGTTTGGCCTCTCTCGGTTTTCACCAACGTTGGCACAATATTTACCTTCTCTTTACCCTAGCCTTCCTTCCCTTGGCCCTTTACCTCATTCCTCCTTCTCAGATCTTCCCTTCCATTTTCCCTTCTCTTTTGCCTTCTGTTCTGCCTTCCCTCCTCCTTCCCCTTCCCCTTCCCTTCCCACCTTTCCTTCCTTCTACCTTCTCTTTACCTTTACCTTCCTTTCCTGTACCTCCTTCCCCGTCCTGCCTTCCCCCTTCCCCACCCTTTCTCCTTTCCCTTCCCTTCTTTTCCTCTTCTTTGCAGTTTTTGCGTCTTCTATTTGAAGTGGCTCGGGGTTTGGTCAACCAACGTTGTGCCCAAAGTTGTGCCCGGAATTGTTTGTTCCACCTGGCCCTCTTCTATTTGAAACCCTCCCGGCGGCAAATTTCCAAGCCCTTCAAATAGAAGATTGGCACAAGCAATTTCTTCTATAATAAAACCATGTACTATACTGCTTATAAAAATGTTGTAAAGCCAAGTTATATATATATATATAATGGTTGGAATCCCACCAAAAGAAGGACTCCATCCCCTTCACTCCAACTCATCCTTCAACGCTTGGCGCCCTTTCGCCTCCGGCGCCCAGTGCGTGAAGTGCCCCGTGAGCTCGTCCCGGCGCCACGCCAGGTCGTCCTCGTCCTCCACGGCCGCCGCGAGCGCCGCCACCTAGGCGGAGCCAGGTTCTGAAGGGGTGGTGCCGGAGTCTGTGCCGGTCTGTGTGTGCCGGTCTGTGTGCCGGCACCTGTGCCGCTGACCCGGCTTGAACGTTGAAAGAGTGAAGAAGAAGAGTCAACTCTTCGGCCGCAGGTCACGCGAATTGGCACCCCCTTCAAGCCAGTCACATGCCAATCGCCATCATCTCCCAAGGCTCCATGCGTCTCCGTCTCCACCTGGAAAAGGCCAAGTGCTCTGCAGTGAGCAGAAGAACTTCAGTTCTGGTTCCTTCGAACGCATGTCCAAAATGATTTCCACACGGAGTGGACATGGGAGCAATCGGACGCTACGAACGGGGCTCCTGGCCTTACTACTAGGAACAATGTTTGCTATTAGAAACAATAAATAGATAGAATTAGAATTAGAATTTACAGTGCCGTGCCCGGCCCCCCAGCTGGCCCGGCACCTCGCTCGCCTCGCACGGCGGAGCGGCCTCGCCCGTCCTTGGTACAAGGGGCATTGCGCCCCGCTTCGGAGAATGCGAAAGGAAGCACCGTCCGGGTCCAAGGGGGAACTATGTGGCAGACAGAGGGCTCAGTGACGTCCAAAAAAAGGGCTTAATGGATGTATACATATTGGATGTTGATCTGTCTCTTTTCGAGATGCAACCGCTGGGCGCGGAGAAGGCGAAGGATTTGACTGCTCTCTGACTCATGCTTTTTGAAACACAAAATAGCGAGGCAGAATGGTTGTCCCTCGTTGCCGACGCAGCTGCCATTCACAGAATGCTTACTGCCCTCGGCCAAAACTGAGTCGGGGTGTGCCTTTTTTGGCATTCAAGCAAGTGACAATAGAAACGGTTGAGTTCAACTGTCACTTCCTGCAGACGATTGGCACTCCCGAGATTGCTCTGGAAGATTCAGCAACCTACACAAAAGCTACGCAGCGGCAATCCTTGAATGCCGTGATTGATAAAAACTTGGCTTTGATTCAAGAGATGTACTGGAACTGATCACCTGGTAGCCACAAGGGAATGCTTCGGCCACGGAGAATGATCTCAAATGAATGGAGAGACCTTCTTGACCACACCTCGACCCTGAGTCCAATGGTAGAAGGTGGTGTAGCCAAGATGGAAGGGAAGCCAAGCGAATTGCAGGAACTTACCGAGCAACTTGTGGGCATCGATGGACTGCTTGGCCAACCTGTCATTCCTCTTGTCATCTTCAGCATTTCCAGTCTTGTCAGAGCCTGGAGCCCACTTCAAGAAGTATTCGTTGGCAATGCCGGACACGGGCAACAAGAGCGCAAGGACGTAGAAGGCACGAAGGCTCTGTGTCTCCAGCATTTGCACCATGGGATTTCCTGGGAAGCGGGGAGGAATTCCACTCTGCATGCGGAGGAAGAAGCGCGCAACCAGAGCAAAGAGCATCGCGAGGCCGGTCTGCTTGTGCCACCACAGCATCTGTTTCCTCGTCTGTCCTTCTGAGTAGGAGGCAGCCTGAGCTGTTCCAACGGCTCCGAAGATTCCCACGGCCATGATGAGATGCAAGTGTCGCAATGCACGGCTGTAGGTGAACTGTGACAAAGGCTTGGTGTTTTGCACGGTCTTGTAGAGATACCATGCCACCGCACCAATCGCAATATCTGTGGCCTTGTACTTCATGTATCGTCCCACCTCGGACGTCTCCTCACCAACCACTTGAGCAACTGTGGCCTCCGCTGACCAATCGGTGTTCTCTCCTGGCACCAATTGGCCAACCAACATGTCTCGGTCACGCTGCACCCGAGCCTTCTCCGAGTGCTCAAAGACCTCGAAGTCCTTGGTGGCGTCGGTGCCCGCCTTGGTCAGCAAAATGTCGTCACCTCCTGGATGGCTTCCTTAGGAATTGGCGGGCTCCAACCTTGAAAAGTAAAAAGGATTTTCCAGAAATCTCCTGGAAGATTTACCCACAGGGAAAAAACTAAAAACAAAAATTCACCTTAAAACTTATAAGCAAAACCAGGAATTCCGATCAAAGGCTTCAAGTTGTAGACGCGGTTGTGGATGATCATGTACGGCTCCTCTGCAGTGGTGTGCTTCGCCACCTCAGCACGAGTGAAGAACGGAAGCTCCTTGCCAGCGGAGACTTCCGCCAGCTTTGGAAAGCGAGACTCCTCCGAGAGGGTGGGCGCATCCTTGGCTCTCAGGAAGCTGGGGAAAAAGATGGAATATATATTCTCAGGTTTGGGGCTTCACTGAAAGGAAAAATGAAATCACCCTCAGCAAAACCAAGCATCTGTCTTACCTGGGACCTTCACTGCTGTCTTTGCCGCTTCAATGTCCTCCTTGGAGGGTCCCTCAAGTCTGCGCAACTCATCATTCAGCTGCTTCAATTGCTCGTAGACAGGCTCCCTTTGGGGCTCAGCGCGGACATCGCCCATCTTCCATTCACTTCGCATGAAGAAGTCCATCCACTGCTTGCTGGGGAAACGTCCCGGGATCTTGTCCCACATCGGAGTCGCATCTCTGCCAGCCCAAGCGAGAATGGAATTGCGCTGCTCTGGATGATGGATCAAGAAATCCGTGAGGTCGTAGACATTCTTGTTGATGGCAATCCAACAATCATGAGGCTTGTTGTGACGAGCCACCTCTGACAATGGAATGCCACCATTGGAGTTGGGGATGTCCAAAGGGATGTCATGAAGATGTGCATGGGCCTGGTCCGAGAGAATCGTTTCAATCTCTTTCTTCACGTCCAAGGCTCTGGTATAGTCCTCCGCATCCAAGGCGGCCCTCTTCTGTGTCTCCAAGCGTTGCAGCTTGATTTTCAGCTGAGGGTCCAAGTTGCTGTCTTGCAGGAGCCTTGGCAAACTGTCCGCCTTGTGACCATAGGCCGTTTCCCGCAACACGCGGTCGATCTCCTCGCGGACCTCCACGATGCGCGCCTCCCGCAAGGTATGCCAGAACTCATCGGACATCAAGTCCGCGTCCACGCCCAGGTTACCCAACTGACTCTCAGGGCGGAGATACGAATCCTTGCCATCCAATGTGCTCGAAAAAACCCAGCTGAATCGGAATTGTTTATAAAAATCGAAGAACCCCAGGAACCCGGGAGTTCCGGGAGGTTCCGGTAAAGTCACATCTGCAGAAACCACTCCTCCTCTGCCAAAAAAAAAGCAGAAACCACTCGCCCCCCCAAAAAAAAATAGAAATAAAAAAACAAACCGGCCAGGACTCGATCTTCACCCCCTTGTGGATCTCGTTGAACAACTTCGAGGCGTCCTTCCCCGCCCAGGCCGCGATGCTGGTCGGGCCGCCGGGATGGCGATCCATGAACTCGGAGAGGTCGTAGACCTGGTCGATGTCGCCGGGATGGCGGCCCCGGAGAGGTCAGCGGAGAGGTTTTGGAGCACCCGGAAGATGAAAGAAGACCCCGGTCGATGGCAAGGTGAAGGGAAAGGACATCCGGTTCTGGGAGTTAGGTGCAGGATGGTGCAGGTGTTGTTTTTCGAAATACTTTGGTGGCCACGATGGCCCTGAACAGCCGAGTGCTGTTCTTCTATACAAGAGCCTCCAGTGCTTTTTTCTGGTTTCCCCAGACTTCCAAGACCATTAACAAAATGGGAACGACGGTAGTGTAAAGTCCTTGCATGGTTGATTCGGGATGACCAGCCTATTAATGGTTGGCCAGGAAGCCTAGGGTCGACTGTAGTTTTTCAGGTTCCGTCTCGGAACCCGGGCGGCACAGGCTTCTTCACAGACCGCATTGATCCATCCGCCCCAGCATTCAAGGGTTTGGAGGGTTGGTTTGGATTCTTGAGGGCGATTGCTTTAATAGAGACCGGATTTGTGGACCACCATGGATTTTTGGGTGTGTTTTACTCACCAAGACCTTCAGTTCGTGACCCCACCATGGAGTTTCTCGAGTTCTGACCTTTTTTGGGAGTTTCTCGGGTTGTGACAGACCTCAGCCACGAACTGATCTCAAGTTGGGTCATGAACGGCTCAGGTCCGGCTTGTCACCCACCTGGACCATCCTGTCGACCCTGCACCCCGGTCCGCTCCACATCCCCATCAAAGCGCTTCGCTGCTCTGAAGAGCACTGCTTAGACACCCCCAGTCTGGCGCTTCCCTTCCCGTCCGAACCGGGAGTTCGCTGGCGGAGTTCGCCCGAACCCACGGAGCTCGCCCCCCGAACCCACCGAGGTCTCCGCTTCGCGGCGTAGGACCTGCCTTGCCGTTCAGCGCCACCCAGCAATCCTCGGGCAAACAGTGTCGGTTCACCTCGGAGAGCGGAATGTTCTTGGAGATGGCACCTGAAAACAGCTGGGCTGCGGTGAAAGTGAACACGGTGCGGCGAACACGGTGCGTGAGCTTATTAACTGTTTTCACATGGATATATGCGGTGGTTTGGTAAGAAATGGCTGAACTTCTGCGTTTTCCTCCGAGCTGTCCGGCTTAACATGATGGAAAACCTACGAAACCTCGTGTGTTTCTGAGCGGTTTCGATTTGGAAATTCCTTCGTATGTTCGCCTGAGTCTGGCTCTGTCAGTCTGTCGAGTATGTGTCGGACCGAAGAGACGGCACCTGTTGGCTTGTGCGCCAGGTGGAATCCCTCTTGGTGGGCTGATGGATGCATATCGCTGGCCATGGACTAGCGGAACTGCGGGCTGACGGAACTCGGGACAAGGACGCGAAGCACCAATCGCAGAAAGCTGATCTTCTTGAGCCATCCATCAAAATCAGCATATGGTTCGTGCTTTATTGAAGAGAAACGCACCAGGACCATCCACGGCGGGGTGCGACAGGGTATGACCACCCCCAAGAAGACCCCCTTTTCGGGGCTAGCAGGACCCCCCGAAGCCCGGGGGGGTCCTGCTTGTGTTCTGTCAAGCTTCAATGGCTCGGCGGTGATCTCCTCGTGTTCTGGCCTCGGCGTCATCCGTTTTGTTCCAAAACATCAAATAACAACCTGGACCTTCAAGGGGTGTCCAATGGAGGTCCCTTAGTAGTGTAGGGGCTTCCATTGGTGACCCCTTAGAAGGTGCTGGAAGGTTTGTTTGCACACGCTGTCCCATATTCCAAAAAGTCCATTCCATGGATGTTCTGTGTGTGTGAAGCATCACCGTTACCAAGTGATGTGTTGATGTGTTTGTACTTCATTCCATGAATGACATGCATATAAAGACTATTAGTAACCCTCTAACCAACCGCACATCTAATTACGCGCGCAAACCTTGCAAACCACGCCAAGAAGCACTGCACCAAGAAGCACAGCCCACGCACCTTCCGCACCTTTACCACCACTCCACCGAGGAGCAAGTCCAAGCGCATGCGCTGCGCGGCCTCCTTGAGCTCCTCCAAATTGGCCGCCTCGAAGCCCTGCGATCCGCGCGATCAGCGCGAAAGAAGGGGAGAGGAAGTCCAGGTGCAGTCCATTCACCGGCGGTCAGGCGGTGGCACGGAAGATTTGGGGCGCGTAACAAGGCCATGCTGCAAACCTGCAGTTGCATTGGCCATCCTCTTTTCACCTTGACAAACTGCAAATGGATGCTTCCCCAGTCCCAGGCATTTCCTATGTAAAGGATCTCCGCTGCCACATTGGAACAACCATTCCCCTACAAGTCCATCTAACGTGCCTGGTGTTTTTCACCAAGACTCTGACGTCTCCCTCATGCTTCAGCATGTAGACTCTCGATTAATAACCCCCCCCAAAAAAAAAGATTGGAAATCCGCTGGCTTAAACTGGAAAGCCTCTTCATAATGTGAAGTTTAGGGTCCTCTAAGAGTCTACTCACTCCTCACCCCGCACCCAGTCGACCCCCTCGCTCGCTCCGGCTCCGGCACCTGCGTGAGCTCGTCGCGCCACAAGAAGCGCCGCTCGCCACCTCGGTCGGGCCGGGCCGGGCCAGGACCGTGGTGCGACGGTGAAGCGGACGAAGTCAAGGACCGTGGGAGAGAGACCTATGATGGTATATACTCCAAGGGACCTTCAAGGGCTGTCCAATCGGGATATACACCTATATATACCTATATATATATATATGCTACCCCCCCGTTGTACCTACTTTGAGCCCTTGTTGGCAATGTGGATTCCAGAAGATGGGTGCATTGCTTTGGGTTGGTGATGTGCAGGTTAACAGACGCTGGAAGCGTAGATGACTGGAGGGCGGGACTCTTCCAACAAGCTTTGGAGCACGGCAATCTCAACCTTCTGTTCTTTGATCTTGCTTTTGGCGTCTGCCAGTTCTTCTTGGCAATGGTGGAGAGCAGAGAAGATGCTTTCGAATTCCACTTTGGCCTTTGCAATCTGGTCGTCCTTGTACTTCATAGCCTTCTCGACTTCTTCGGTCGTCATACGCTGGTCTGAGCTAGAGTCAGAGTCAGAGTCAGAAGATGACTCAGAAGAAGAATCGTCAGCATCCTGCTGGCCATCCTCGATGGCCAAGGGTGCTGCATCCTCAATGGGCAATGGCTTGGACGGCTTTGATACAAGAGGCTTGGCGAGAAGCTTTCCTAGGCGGTCTTCCGCTTCCTGGCTCCAGCCGCCCTTGGCACCACGTGGTAGGAGTAGCATACGTTGTACGTTGCACGTTGCCCATGGCATTGGTGAGCATTTTCTTTGTCAGAGGCTGACGTGTCGGATGAATATAGATGGTGCCGGCATCGATCCTGGTCTGAACAGTCTCTGTAGTAGGCCTGGATATTCTGACTTTAGGTTCGGGCATGGCCTCTGGGAAGTTCAAAGTCAAGGTTGCATGGTTTCCCTGTTGTTGGACACGTCCGGCCACGGAAAAGGAGCCATGCCGCAAGGCAAGACGAGTTGAGGGGATACTCGGAATGCAAACTTTGAGGCTAAACATTATCCACCCAAATCATATTTATGAGACATGTGTTTTTCTTGCGGATCTCGCGACATTTACAATGACAAGGTCTGACGTTTTTTCAGAGGATCTTGGCACCAACAGGTCATAGGAAGTCCTAGGACTTAATAAGGGAGGTCCTAGGAGGTCCTAGGACCTGCCAAGAACCAAGAACCAAGAACCAAGATTGCAGCGAGACTCTTTGGACAATCTTGGTTCTTGATAACGGGAAGGCCCAGAACCAATAACCAAGAACCAAGATTATCCAAAGCTTGCTGCAATCTTGGTTCTTGGTTCTTGGCAGGTCGTAGGACCTCCTAGGACCTCCTAGGACCTCCCCAGACGTAGTGGTAGCATATCCTTATCTTACTGTAGTACTGTAGAACTATACATGCCAACCTAGAGGATGTGCGGGCCATGTTGTTTGCCAGAAGATGTGAACATGTCGAGATGACTTGTGCAAAACACTCGTGTATATATAATATATACAATGTATATGTAATGTTTCTCTAAATTAGTGATAAAAGCATGCAAATACAAGTAAAGGTGCAAAAAGGGTTGGTACAGGAGGGGGGCCCACCATATATATACCTTGTGCCTCCAAACACGACAAAAACGTAGGGTTCATCCCAAAACACGAGGTTCTTGAAGGAAACACGAGGTTTCCCATTTTTGTGTTTTTTTCCGCCCATGCCATCTTCGAAGGCCGGGCCACAGGAACTTGAATTCAAACTCCAAAAGCCCAGGTTGATGATCAGAACGAAAAAAATCTCAACCAAAATGCAACTATTGTACCCCCCTAAAAACCGTGAAAAAAGCACGGGTTGTCACGGCATAATCACGGGTTTGTCACGGGTTCGTCACGGGTTATCGGAGCTCTCACTTACGGACCCGAACTTTTCATGACGAGAGTGTTGAATGCTGTTAACATATTGTCAAACATGTTTTGACCACGGAAAATTCGAAAAGTCGGCGGGAGAAAATGAATATGGAGCACCTGCACACATGGCTATCGAGGGTTTTGGGGCAAAACACGAGGATTTGGCTAAAAACCCGAGGTTTTCCCTTATGTCACGGCCCGTCACGGCTAAACCCGAGGTTTGTTTTCAAACCCGACAAATTTGTAGGGTTCAGATGCTCAGGGTATATATAACTGAACCTTCAAGGGGATTCCATTGGTGACCCCCTTGAAGGTGCTGGTATAGAATCCTATAGATCGTGTACTTACTATATATATAGGACATGCCTGTTCTTTCGTCAAACCAAGCAAGTTCGGCAAACATGTTGCATGGTTGGGAGATCTAGGTTTGTGGCATGAGGGTTTCGACAGAAACCTATTGGATCCTATCGGATAAGTCGAAGGCCACAAATCTCTGCGAAATGCAAAGAGCAAAAGAAGAAATCGGAAGATCCATCATCTGAGCATGAAGGAATTGTTGCGGCTATTTCAAGGGGTCAAAAAGACCACCATCGGATACTGGGTATGCCGGGTTCCCACGTGGACACTGCAACTGTGTTCTTGGACACCCGCGTTGGTGGGAACAAGCCAGTTTCGGCGCGTAAAGGGCACACCGTGCGTAGGTGCGAAGGCAGTTCTTTTGAACCCCCGGCCGGCCCCAAAACGAGCGGCTGTCATAATAGGTATCAAGCCATTCGCAGTACCAGAGTGCAATCGCCTGGACGTCACCGAGGAATTCGGGTTGGACACCCCCCCCCCGCTTTAGCTCGGGCGGAAGAGGACCATCCGGCCGCGCTGCGGAACCTGGGTGGGTGGTGACATAAGGGGCATTTTTGAGTGGTGTGGATGATCGACGCCACGAGGCACCGCCGGTCACTTTAGACCTCCTTTTATTCGGGAAGCGCACGACAGTCGTGGAGGCGTGGCACCGAACTGCAACGACCTCCGATCGCACCTGCTCGGTCCAACGACTTCCTCGAGTCCCCCGAACCCCCAAGCGAGTCGGTCGAATTGGGCGAGGGTCGCAAGCAGCGGCGAGGCCGGAGGTCTCGTCGTCCCTTCGTCTTTGGAGGTCCCGTGAGTTCGGGAGTCCCTCGCTAAAGTCCCTCATCTTCCCCAGTCCCAGCCATTTCCTATGTAAAGGAGTTCAAGCAAGCCATATTGGAACAACCATGTGTTTCTGGTTGTTTGGCTTCCCAGGTCCATATCAAGTTGGTCTAAGAGATATTCAAAAAATGGAGATGCGAGGCTGTAAGAGTTACGAGGCTTCAACATACACTGATCAGAGATGATCATCCAACATACTACGTTCTCTCTTTATTCGAACCCCCCGATCCATCCCACCCATCCCATCCCCGGTGTCCCAACCCGCTGGTACTTCCACCATGGCAAGTCTTCCACGCGCGAAGACACAGACGAGGCGTCTCCCGCGACCTCGGTCGCACCGCGAAAGGCGTCTCCCGCGACCGGTGCCGAGTGCCCCAACGGATCGGTCCAAAGATGTTGAGGGTGTTGGAACGGATGTGGATGAATGGTATAGTTCTAATTGTGTTCAGAGGAAAGCAAGTTATGCGGAATCCCCCCCCAAAAAAGACGGTGGGATCCATACTACCCCATCCTTTTTGTTGGACTTGGAAGGCAATAGACATTGTGGGGGGTTTGCACCATCGAAGCTCGAAAGCACGGCTCAAATGAAGAAAGTCTTGGACCTTCAGGCACCAAGAGCGGGACGGTGCCAACCTCTAGGACCTCCATCACCGATCGAACGGACTGTGCAAGCCTCTAAGGCTCTAAGGGTCGGCTGCCTCCACAGCCGCAAACGCCACAGAACGGAAGACAAAGCCCCGAGGCAGTTCGGGGTGGTGCCGCCGTCGTTCGAAGGGGGCCCAAAAAGAGACCGCGGAAGGGGGCGATGGAAGACACCTGTTGTCAGGTACCAAAAAATAGAGGTCTACTATAGTTTGGTTTGTAGACACCCCTGACTATGTATGTTGCTTCCAAAAACAACCCTTTCCGTGGTCCTGGTCTATACTTATATACCCTAGACTCCTAGACTTCCAAGACCATTATCTAAACAAATGGGAAATCCTTAGTTGATTCGGGATGACCAGCCTATTAAATTAATGGTTGTCGGAAGCCTATATAGGGTATATTAATTTATAGATACTTATAGAGATGATGAAAAGGCATACATGTTGCACCAAGGAACCCTAAACTGGCCTTTTTGCCGCAACTCTCCAACTCCTCGTCTTGGCTCGACCGGGCGCGTCTCCACCGGTCTCCACCGGTCCCGGACACGTCGACCGGCCTCGAGGCGGCGGGAGGGATCGGCGCCGGCCAGGAATTGCTGGAAGAGCGTTTCCTCGGAGCGGTCTGCGGTGGAGACGGGTCTCGGTGACCCCTTGAGAAAAATTCATGACTCCTTTGACCCCTAATATAGGCTATTAGGGTAGTGGTGGATGGATTAGGACTTCCAGGATGGATGGCTTTTAAGGAGTCCATTCCACGTCCGGGGACCGAAAGCAAAACTCGTTGGACGGCAGTTCTTCTTCGACCCGGTCCAAGCTGGAGACGACTCCATGTCTCTCCAACGATGAAAGCCGGCGTGTGGACGAAGTGAAGAGGGGAGATCATGAGTTGGACCTTTGCAAAAAATCCCACCGGAGCTGGTAGAGTAAGTGACCCCCGCACCCACTGGTCACGACTCTTGCGCTGCCAAGACTCTTGCACGGTGTCCAGCACACTCATGCTCCGATGCCACGTCGCGCCAATCCACGTCGCCACTCACATGGCCCGCGCCACGCCGCGGACGGTGTCTCTCCGCGGGGCGACTGGTTTTCACCCGAACGCCGGAACGATGAACGCCGGAACGATGTCTGCATGGTGGGATCCGATTCATGGTGGGTCTGGTACGGATCGTTTCCAAAAGTCCAGGTGGGATCTGTTCACCGGGTCACCACGTCTACCTTTGGGTTGATTCGTACTGGTGTGGCATGAGCCCCGGACCCAGTCTTTCATGAGGTCATTGACCGGGATGGCAAGTTTGAGAAGTGTTCTTCATTGTGGGTGGGTCACTCGTCTTGCTCTATGCAGAAAACAGGAAGCATCGGCAGTTGCATCGAACTTGAACAGTGAGTTTGCCAGATTGCAGCGGCCACTCTGATCCGAGCTCATCTGGATGGTTTGGTCAACCAGCTGCGCAATGTGAAGACATCAACGAAAAGACTTGTCAGCTGTCACATCCACTTGTGATCACTTGCATTGTATATTTGTTTAAGAAAGGCGGAAAGAAGAGGTTCTTAAAAAAATACGAGTGCTATATTATGAAATATTATACAACATATTGATTCCCCATGCCATGGGGGTTCACCCACTTCAGGATTCACCATGATCAACAAATCCAAAAAGACTTCGGGCCCCCCGGCCAAGTTCATGAGACCATCACCCTGGCGCGTCATAGACATCATCGCTTTCACGTTGCCATGTTGCCGAGTTCACGGCCACTTCTTCACACTTCGACTTCAGGCGCGGAAGCGGCGCGGGTCGTTCCGCGGGTGGTCCTGGTGACCTTTTTGCAGTCCGACCACCCGGGTGGTCCCCTTCGGTGACCTGGCCTTCGTCCGGACCTTCGGACACCTTCGGACACTCACGGCTCGGCCCCCGGCTCGGTGCGGTGAAGAACTTGGTTGATTAACCACGGGTCAGCCGCAAGCCGCAAAATACCAACAGACATGCCTATAATAGATCTTATATATACAAAATGTCTGCCAAACTTACGGCAGAGTTTCTGTGAATCTCGTTGGAAGATCTGCCGGTTCACTGGAGGCCAACACCGAACTCTGACCAAAAAGGCGGGGGGGGGGGCAACCCGCGCGGCGGGCGCGGTCGTCTTCCTCCGGGTCCCGCGCCTCTCCAAACCTTGGCGGTCGGTGGGTGAAGGATCCCTACAGGTCAAGCGTGACCTGGACTGGGATGGTGCCTGATGTATGCGAGAAAGTGAGAACACACACCTGACTGACGCACCTGAAAACCCGCAGGAAGCAAGGCAGGCCAGGCAGGGCACCCGGAAACACGCCCCAGTTTCCAAGCTCAGCTCACCCAGCCGCCCTTCGTTCCGAAGAAGACCGAAGAACGATCCGAGGAGTTCACCCTATAGGTCATAGGCTTCGTTCCAGCGCAAGGGCGCATGTGCCAAGTGCACGGACACCCGGGCCGCTGGGCACCCCAAACCGTGCCATCTGACCCACCGCAGATTCCAACATCCCCGCAAACTCCGCCTGGCAAGCCGCACCGCTTGGCTGCGTGCCGGGATTTCTTTCGTCGCGGCTCCAAGAAATCTGACAGTTGGAGTTAAACCCACGTTGAAAACCCGGACTGGCAGAGGAAAGAGATCCTGTGCCAATCGTTTTTGCACGCTTGAACTGGGAATCGGTTGTGTGAAATTGAGCTCATCAGATTCAAATGGCTTTTCGGGGAGCTGTGAGAAATCTCCCTGTCTGGATCATCCTGTCTGGACTATCCTGTCCTGGCTGGACTAAACCAAAAACACACGAGAAGAAACATCTCCCAGCACACCCCCCCAGTTCCCATGGTCCAGGTAGGAATTCTTCCTAGGTTGGAGGCCATCGCTCTCAGGTTGGAGGCCATTGCTACCAGGTTGGAGGCCATCCCTACTAGAGTGGAGGCCATTGCTTAGTAGGTTGGAGGCCATCGCGACCTCCTTCCTCCGCACCTCATGGGGGCCGGAGGCTTTGGGTGCCTCCATCGCGGCCACCGAACCCCGACCGTCAAACCGAGGCCGATCGAGGTCGGGTCGGAAGGGAGGAGGTTTTGGTTGGTTCAAAGCTCATGGCTCGTGGAGCAACAGGTTTTTGTTGGTTCTAAAGTGGTTCTAAAGCTGGAGGTTTTTGTTGGTTTGTTTCGGGGGGAACTGTGTTTGCTGGAATGTCTCTCATCCATCGCTCTACCCTAGGGATCCAGCCGTACCGAACCTTAGGTACGGTGAGGACGGAGACTACTTATGTAGGCGCCAGGAGGGCCCAAGTACCGTCTGAGAAGGTATGTGGATAGCTAGGGTCTAGAGGGCAACGTAGCTTCAGCATCTCTACAAAGGAAAGGACTCTCTTACTCGACCGTGGGAGTCAGAGACTCGAAGAAGAAGGGTGTTTCGGTGACCTCAAAGGGAATGTCCTCTAAAGAAGACAGCTTCACTGTAAGGAAGCCGGCATGCAATGTGTCATATCGTCGAGTCATATGCACTTCAAAGGGCACAAAAGACATAATTTGAGAAAACCACCACATCCACACGCCCCCCACGCGCTGTCCCCGGACGAGCGAAGGCCAAGGTCTGACGATCGACGACTGGTAGTGCCACCTGTGCCTTCGGGAGACTGGCGCGCCGCAGCACCTGGCGCTGAAAAACACGAAGGCATGGCGGTTGGTTCCTCTAGTAGCTTCTTCTTGTTGCTAGTCGCTTCTTGCTACTAGTAGCGATGCCAGGAGCCCCGAACGTAGCGTCCTTGCTCATAGAGTACTAAGGCCAGGAGACCCGTTCGTAGCTTCTTGTTACTAGAAGTGGCCACGAAGAAATTGGAGGCCACAGGCAAACAGGTCGGAATTCCACACATCAATGACGAAATGTGGGGTTCGGTTCTGAATTGCCTCGGGCTCACTCTGTCCACTTTTTGGCCACCAAAATCCATGGCAGGAAACCTGGAAAACAGCGACGGAGCTTCATCGAAGATGCCCAACCGAGTCTGGCGAAGCACCAATCCTCTCGCCATGCGAGTCTGGCTTCAGAGACGATGTGTCTACGACTTCTTCGTTCGTGTGTCCTGGCTAAAAGAACCAGCAAGGTTTTTGTGGACAAGGGTAGTCCAGCCACACGGTTGGATGGTCCTGGTATAGTTCAAAGGAAAACGATCGTTGACCCTTGACAAAACAATCCTGAAAAATGGTCGAATACCAACTGCTCACCAGGTTCGGTTCAACCGTGACAGCAGCGCGGTGATGTGCAAGGTGTCCTGTGCTGTCCTGGCCGAGCAACGATCGATGGCTTCTTCAGGTCAGGACCTTGGGGGAGCAGAGGGAAGTCCGCTTTTCCACTTCACTTCGCTCTGAGGAAACCAGATCAGTGAGTGGACCTCGACCGTCGCGCGCTTGGCTCTGGCTCTTTGGCTCAGGTCGACGGTTTCCCTCCCAACCGCCAACGCGGTTCTGCCTGGCCTTTCTTTTAGTCTTCTTGGACCCAAAACGAGACGGAGACCGGGGTCCAATGAAAGTTGGAATCAATATCGATGAACTCCCAAGAAGTTAAAGGCGTTCATCTATGTGTCTTTGGTGTTGCAGCCCTCGGGGCAGTTGCGCCTAACAGTTGCGGGGTCATCATATCAAATCATACAAAATGACAGTTCTGAAGACAAAATATTTTGGAGGTTCATGTTTCTCACCTTCTCCACAATCTCTACCAGGACCTTGAAACAGGTTTTTTTGGGACACCCCGAATCACCCATATAAAAGAGGCTGAATATCTGTTACTCCTTCGAACGGTGGGTCCTGGAAGGTCCTGGTGGCCGCAACGAACCGGACGCTACTAGGAGCAAAGGGCATCGCTACGAGGGGCTCCTGGCATCGCTACTAGGAGCATTCTTACTACTATAGGAACAAAGGACGCTACTAGGAACAAAGGTGGCTGCAACGAACCACACCTAAAACGTCATCAAACCACTGAATGCTGACCGCTGCCGCTTCCGTCCTCAGCAGGTTGGACATGGCAACAATGTCACCCTGGCCGATTTCGGGTCGACGTCCGGATCGACACGGCTCTCAGTCACCAACGACGGCTCATGGGACGGAAACAAAAAAAACGTATGCGAACGTCCCTACGTTCTTTAGTGAAAGACCTCATGTTATGTACGTTGTTCATACAAAGTTTCATGCAAAAACCTTATTCTATGTTATTTTCGAAAGGACTTCCCCCAAATGGAAAGTCTTGGGGAACCAGCGCCGGAACCAAATCTGGTGGTTTTTTGGAACGTGTTTTCTGGGCACCGGACGTGCTGTCATCCAACCACCGATCGAACGGCGAAGCGCTACGTTGGATCACTCCATCCGGAGCTGCAGTTCCTTCAGGCTCTTGACGAACAAACCTCGATATGATTGTGTTGTTTCAATCCAAATGGGTGGGTTATTAATTTCAAGAATTGCCCAAATCAAATGAACCTCAATTAACAAATAGGTATGATCAACATAGTACTAATAGATTTAAGAAAACATAAAAGTCATGAACAAAATTGATTACCATTCATAAACATGCAGACCTGCTATGGGAGGTAAAACTACATTAACACGAAAATATCCAGAAATATTGGCGGATATAGATGATACAAATGATGAATGTTTACCAACTTATTTGGATATAGTTGAAAGTGAGCTAAAAACAAGACCGGTTGAAAAGTTATTTAATGCTCAATCATCCGCAGTAATAACAGCTATAACCAAAAATATACACCAGTAAAAGTAGCTCATGAGTTTCAACATCTTAAGGCATATGAAAGACCAAATGTTGAATAGTCAAGTCCTAGACCTCCTATACCAAGTAGTTGTAAAAGCTTGCCATTAGGAGTTGGTAGCAGGAATGCAGCTACAGATTGGTAGAATATGTTTTAAAAGCCCCCTATATTGAAATGGATAGTGGAGATAATTTTGAAAGACTAGTTGCGCCTTAAGCTAGAAGTTTAATGAAATATTAGCTGTAGAATGAATGAGAATATAACTACTATTTTCCAAAGAATGAGAGCAGCAATCTAAATCAAAGATGACAATGACACAAACAAGAAACGAGTTGTTGATACGACAACGCTTACCCTAATTCAATATGTATGTTTGAAAGCAAAAAAGGATGCAAAAAAAAAGAGAGCTCGACGTTTTCAAAAG